AAAAATCACAACGTCGGGTGTCTGGGACCCCAAACACCCTCGGGTCAACATGACGGTAAGTTTTTCGCCATCGTTTCTGTGCTCTGGGGGCCTTGACTGGGCCTCTATGGGGGATGGGTCGAGATCTCTATGGGGGTCGACGTTCTGAAACAGTGATGACGTCGGGGGTCTGGGGGTAGGGCTTTTCCCTTCGGGTAACGAGGGGAGGGCATGTGGGGTGGTGGGGCTGAGTAACCATGGCCCGCCGGGAATGTTGATATGTTGTTCGCTGTTGTGAAGCACAGAAAAACTGGCCCTCGCTCACAAAAGCCGCCGCTCCCACGAGCCGCCACACCTGCGGCGGCCGATACAGCACGAACCATGCCTTCGTCGATGGGGCGAGCCCTGAGATCCCAGCGCTGCCTTGTTTGTCACCGCGGGCGCTCTCGCCCGGCTCTCCGGGCCCAAGGGAAAGCCGCAGATCGATATCCGGCTCAGAACCCAGACCCCCGACGTAATGATTTTTTCATTACGTCGACCCCCGTAGGTCCCGACCCTTTCTCCATGACCGGCTTTGCATCCTGAGTCGTTTTTTGACACTCCCGAGGCCCGGTGAGGGCCCCCCGAGGCCGAAAATTAGGAAAAACCTCCCGTCATGATTTTTTCATTACTCGAGGGGGTCTGGGAAGGGACAGCCGCAGAAAAATATTTTGGGCCCAGGGCTCCGGTCGCGATTTTGTCCCGATCGAGAGACTGCACTTCTGCGCCCCGCCCAGCGACCGCACCCGCAGCCGGCGCCAGTGGGGCTCACGAGCGGCGAACGTTACAGTCGGGGCGCTGACCTATAAGGAACCCTAAACAAAGAACGATGCCTCCTTTTCCCGTAAGTCACACTTCGATGTCCCGTGGAAAATCCAAGGAAAACCAAAGGCAAACTGTGAAGCAATGAAGGAACACCGAGCCCCTCCCCAACGAACAGGGTTCCTCCGTCAGCGCCCCGACTGTATATCCATCTCCGCGCCCTCGGGGTTTGGATTCCCGGGCGCGACCCTGCGGATGCGCGGTCGCACGGCGACGTGCCGCGCGGGGCACCCGCGAAAAAAAAAACACCTCCTGTCAGCGGGGTCGCGGCGCAGGGTGCCCGGGCCGCGAGGCCGTGGCTGCGGAGCCGTCTTTCTTGGGGGCCAGGAAAAGGCGGAGGGGGGTGAAGGCCGGCGCACCGTGGACCGCAGTCGGGTCGGGCGAAAGGGGGGGATAGCAAAGGGGGGGTTTGAGAATCAGCTCACGTCGCTGATTTTCCCCGGCGCCTCCCGGCGCCGGAGGCGGCTATGTATCGAGGAATGGGCCCCTCGGCGAGGCCGAAACCAGCTGCATGCAGCAAATTTCGGAACCCCCCTTTCCCAATCCCCCCCTTTCGCCCGGCCCGACGCAGGCGCAGCGGGCGGGAGGGAGCGCACTTGATCCAGGTGCCCCTGGCTTTTTCGTGACGGGCCACACGGGCGGCAGGCGCGGTCGCCGAACGCCCGGCGCGGAGCCCCCTATCATGTCGGGCACCTGGGGGAGCTGTGCGGTGCGGTGCGCAGCCAGCCCTGCGAAGTCAGCCACGCTGCCGCCGGCGCGGCGCAGGCCTCCCAGGGGCAGCAACGCCTGTCCGCGCGCCGGCAAGCGCCCTCGCCACACGAGGAGGTCGCGTCCCATCTGGGGATCCGGCGTTGCGCAAAAGTTACAGCATCGCGACAACTCGCGGCCCCCAGTGAACTCCAGCCTTCTGCGACGCCCGATGGATCTGCGATGGCCCCGCGAGGACGCCCACTCTGACAAAAAATTGGAGCGCCCAGATTGCAGGGCACAGAACAACAAATGCGACGTCGCGATTGTCCCAACACTGGGTCCAAATCGTTGCTGGCGAGGGTCTACAGCGGCCGAAAACCAAAAAAACAATCTCCGATCTCGACGCGATCATGCTTGATGGTACGTCGTTATCCACCCCGAGGGGCCCAGGAGATGCCCTCGGAGGTTACCCGAGCCCAGATCATTAGATGCGAGCTGTTTTCGGTCGCGATCGGCAACAACCGATCGGCACTCCGAATCGGTCGCGACCGGGAGCGAACGATTCCCAAATCGGTCGCGACCGATTCTGAAGCAAATCGGTTGCGACCGACACCGAAATTTGAAGCGAAACCGATAGCGACCGACCTCGTTGTTCGCGACGGAAATAATCCGGAATGCAATTTTCAGGCAGGGGCCGCCACCAGCATCTGGGGCGCGAATGCATGGGGGGCGACCTATGGGGGGGCAGCGAGGGCGGCAGAACAGGGGCCCTTTAGGGCCGCAGAGGGGGACCTCTCTAGGGCCCGAAAAGGTCACCTTTCTTCCCTCCTCCAGTCGTCGCCCCCCCGCTCATCCGCGCCCAGGGGATCCTCTGGCGGGGTGCCCCAGAGAGGAGGCTGGCGCAGCCGACCCGCAGTGCCTGGGGCCGCGCCGCGGCTGACGAGCGCGGCCGCGCAGCATCCCCCGGGAGTGTGGGTGGCGGCGGCGCACGGCAGCGCCACTGGAAAATCATCATAACCTCCTCCTCCTCCTCCTCCTCCTCCTCCTCCTCCTCCTCCTCCACATCCGTCTCCTCCACATCCGTCTCCTCCTCCTCCTGCTGCTGCTCCTCCTGCTCCTCCTCCTCCTCCTCCTCCTCCTCCTCCTCCTCCTCCTCCTCCTCCTCCTCCTCATCCTCCTGTCTCCTCCTCCTCTCCTCCTCCTCCTCTCAACCTTCTGCTGATTTCCCTCCTTTCCTCCTGCTCCTCCTCCTTCCCTCCTCCTTCTCCTCCTCCTCCTCCTCCTCCTCCTCCTCCTCACCTTCTGCTGATGCCCCTCCTTCTCCTCCTGCTCCTCCTCCTTCTCCTCCTCCTCTCCTCCTCTCCTCCTCCTCCTCTCCCTCCTCCTCAAATCCTCTCCTCCATCCTCCTGCTGCTGCTGCTCCTCCTGCTCCTCCTGCTCCTCCTCCTCCTCCTCCTCCTCCTCTCCTCCTCCTCCTCCTCATCCTCCTGCTCCTCCCTCCTCCTCCTCCTCTCTCCTCAACCTCTGCTATGCCCCTCCTGCCTCCTGCTTCCTCCTCCTTCTCCCTCCTCCTTCTCCTCCTCCTCCTCCTCCTCCTCCTCCTCCTCCTCCTCCTCCTCCTCCTCCTCCCTGGACGGGTGTGTGGCACAAGGGCCAAGCCCCGATGCGTCAAGGAAAACCAATTCGGAAACATTGCATGGTTGGCTCTTGTACCCCTCAGCCGCGTTGGCGGCTACGTGCGGCAGCGCGGGCTGGGTCCGGCAACGGGATATCGACGCTGCAGAACAAAAAGGCAGCAGCACGACAAAAGAGCGACCGGAGCCCCACCCCACCCTTCTGCTGCACTCTCGAGCCCGATCAGCCTGGGATTCCCCCAGGGCCCGAAACCAGGCGAAAGCGCTCGGGCTGGCGCCCCTCTCGGGCCTCTCGCCGGCACCGCCCTGGCCCGTCTTCCGAGGGCGCGGACGTCGCGACACTGCGTTACTTCCCAAGACGTGCGAGGGTGTCAGGGTCCTGCTGTTTGGTCAGCGCGGCGTGGGGCCCAGAGACCCAGCGCATTCAAAAAAATCAAGACGGATTTTTGTTCGCAATGTTCTGCCTCTCGGGGCCCTCGCCGGGCCCCAGGACCGTCAAACAACGACGCAGGATGAACAACCGGCCCCTGGGAAGGGGTCCAGACCTCTGGGCGTCGACGTCACGAGAAAATCATGACGTCGCGGGTCTGGGAGTGCCAGGGTCCTTCTGTTTGGTCAGCGCGGCGTGAGGGGAAGAGATCGTCCGGGGCCCGAAACCGGGCGAAAGCGCCTGGTGTCTAAAACAACTGCAACGCATGGATCGGCTGGCGGCGCGCACAGGGGGCCAGGGGGAGCGGGGGAGGAGGCTTCTTGGGAGGAGGCTGCTTCTTCAAAGGCGCCGGCCCCACATCGACAGACAGGGCCCGTGCCTTATCTAAGAAGCAATGGCGCCTCTCAGAAGCCTTCCGCCCTCCCCCCATGACCCAGACCCCCAACGCCATGATTTTTTCAGATTGTCGACCCCCGCGAGGTCTCGACCCACTTCCCGGGGCCGGTTTTCGTCCCGAGTCATTCTGCATGAGGGCCCCGAGGCCCGGCAAAGGCAATGCCAGAAATGGCGAAACGCCTCCCGTCATGGCTCTTCCATTCCTCGAGGCGGTCTGGGTACTCCAGGTCTCCCAATAAGCGTGGGGGGGTGGATCGCGTGGGGGGGTGGGGAAAACCGCTGCCCGTGGGGGGGCGTGGGGAGGCTGGGGGAGCGAGAGGGGGTAGGTTTGGGGCGCGTGGAGGCGCGAGCAGGGGGCGTCGGACAGGTTGGCACGGGCGGAGGGGGCTTCTTGAAGGCTGTGGAGTACCTCCTGGTGCTCGCCGCCACATCGGGGCGACGCAGTTCCGAGCCCGTTGAGCAGGAACCGACCGTCCCGGCATTCCTATAGTCCTACCGCGAAATGTTTTTAGAACCCAGAAATGCTCTAAGAACAGAAACAAGGTTCTTAGAACAGAAACCCGATGTGATAAAACAAGACAGCCTCCGCCAGGAATGTTCTAGGAACATCTCGTGGGAACCACCAAACAGTTCTTGGAACATGGTTTGGTAGGGCTTTAGGCACGCCAGGACGCCTCGCCACTGCTTGAGCTGTGGAGTACCTCCTGGCGCTCGCCGCCACCTCGGGGCGACGCAGCTCCGCGCCCGTGCTCCAGCGGCGTCGGATCGGCGCTGGGTCCCCCCGGCGGCGCCTCCAGCGCCGCCCCTGGCGCGCTCCGCGCGCCAGGGAGGGGGGTCTAGCGCCGATCCGAGAAATCCGCGCGGATCTCAGAGTTTTTATGCTTCTGTCACTTTGTGTTCCCCTATGGCGCTCGCCGCCGCCTCGGGGCGGCGCAGTTCCGAGCCCCGTTGGCTCCAGCGGCGGCTGCTCCGGCGGCAGCACCGCGGGGGGCCGGCCTCCGGGGGGCGGGGGCGGCCTCCGGCCGAGGGGCGACGCCCGCTGGGGCGGGGCCCGCGGCGGGAGCGCCCCCGGCTCCGCCGGGGGCGGCAGCTCCTCGTGCGGCGGCTCCTCGCGGGGCCGGCCGGCCAAATCCGGCAGCGCGTCGGCGTCGTCGTCGTCGTCGTCGTCGTCGTCGGCGTCGTCGTCGGCGTCGTCGTCGTCGTCGTCGTCGTCGTCGTCGTCGTCGTCGTCGTCGTCGTCGGCGGCGTCGTCGTCGTCGTCGTCGTCGTCGTCGTCGTCGTCGTCGTCGTCGCTATCGTCACCATCGTCGCCGTAGGCAAGCCCCGCTATGGGCAGCCTCGTGCGGCGGCTCCTCGCGGGGCCGGCCGGCAAAATCCGACAGGCGCCGGCGTCGTCGTCGTCGTCGTCGGCGTCGTCGTCCGCGTCGTCGTCGTCGTCGTCGTCGTCGTCGTCGTCGTCGTCGTTGTCGTCACCATCGTCGCCGTAGGCAAGCCCCGCTATGGGCAGCCAGGGGCCTCAAGAGGCCAGTCAGGGCCAAAGGAATTCCAGGGGACCCAGAGATCCAGCGCATGGAAAAAATCAAGACGCAGGTTTTTCGCAGTTTTCGACCTCTGGGGCCCTCGCCGTCAAAAAACAATCCAGGATGAACAACCGGTCCCTGGGAAGGGGTCCAGACCTCTGGGGGTCGACGGTCGACGTCACGAAAAGATCACGACGTCGCGAGTCTGGGGACCTCGAGCTCAAGGCGTCGCCCTCCCCAGACCCCCGACGTCGCGATTTTTTTGCGTAACCTCGACCCACAGAGGCCTGGATTCCTTCCCCTGGGCCCGTGTTTCATCCTGAACCAATTCTTGACGGTCCCAGGGCCCGGTGAGGGCCCCCAGAGGCCGAAAGCGGCCGCAATGAAACCTCCCGCAGCGAATGTTTTTTGCGACGCGATCGTGTCTGGGATGCCGTCCTCGCGGCTGCTTCCCCTCTTCGGTGGCAGCTCATGGGAGCCTCCCATACCATCTTGTCGGCTCTTGCGAATCGACGCTCGTGGACGCGAAATCGACGCTCATCGACGCGCAATCGACGCTCATCGACGCTCAATCGACGCTGGATCGGCGCCATATCTCATCCACCCGAGACGCGAATCGACGCGAGTCGACGCTACAGGCGGAGCTGAAAAGGCAATCGTACCAGGCCCCCATGACCTGCCACCGAAGTCCCCACCCGGGAGGGAGGGGGCGCCACCCTGCAGAGGCCCTTCCAGGGCAGGCTGGGGCGCCTTCAGCGCCCCGGCCCCAAGGCGGTGGGAGGCCGCGCGGGGCGCGGCGGGGCCGCCCCGGGCGGGGCTAGAGATGCCCGTCCCCGACCCTCCAGAGCTCGAAAAATAGCCCTATGACGCTCGAAAAATAGCCCTCCAGACCTCTGAGCCGACCTGGACTGTCCAAAACCTCGACTGGAGTTTAGAGGTCGAGAAACCTTCATGGACTGTCTAAAAGGCTCGACTGGAGTTTAGAGGACGAGAAACCTTCATGGACTGTCTAAAGGCTCGGCTGGAGTTTCGATGTCGAGGTCCTGTTTCTTTGTTTTGTTTTTCGTGTGTAGCCCTCCTGGAAGGCCAAGGGTGGGAGTCTATTGAGGACAGACCGGGCTGCCCTTGGGCACTGCCCGCGACGAGCCCTAGAAGCCTTGCCAGTCCCAACCCACCTCGAATCATCTAAAAAATAACGACGGGAAGTTTTTCCTTATTTGGAGCCGCTGGGGGCTTTGACCGGGGCTCTGGACCGATACGAAACGACTCAGGATGGTCGAAACCTCCAGGGTCGACGCTACGAGCAAAACATGACGTCGGGGGTCTGGGATCACAGTCCAAGGCACAACCATCTAGCGTGACCTGGCATCAAGAACAATCAACCGAAACTTACTTTGCACCTGTCCTGATCAATCAGCCCCCCGGACAGCTAATTCACAACACCACTAAATGGACGTCCGAAGTCGTGTCGGGATCTTAAACCCTCCAGATCGGTCTATAAGTCTATAAGCATGTCGTCCCATTCGAATACAAACGGCCCATGGCAACTTATGACTTTTGAAAGGCAAATGTGCGCGCATATGTTTTTTCCAGACGATGGTTGTGGTGGTGGTGTGTGTGGGGAGAGGGCGATTCTGGTTTGGTTGTGATGGCACGAAATCATGTTTATACTGAACCATGCGGCAATATCGCACATAAATTGCGCACCCCTGGGGGGAATCGGTAATCCCGACATCGGGAGGGGGTGCAGATCCCCAAAAACCGATTTGGGAGAAAACAGTCCGCGTTTGGCAATAGATACTGATATATACACGGTGCAATGCGCTTTCACAGAATAGTTGGCAACTGCCACGCTCTTGCAAACATCCCACCCACCCACCCGCAACTTGGTTTGCAAAACCCATGCGGTGGAGATTGCGATGCATGCTTGGCGTTGGCTGGTGCATCTCTGCGGCCGCGCCAACCCTAGCACGCGCGCGCAGCGGCCAGCTAGTCTGGAGCCACCGACGCGGCCGCGGCGGCGCGGACCGCTGGGCGCATCCCCGCGGACACTTCACTGCGAGTCGGCGACTTGGGCGGGCGCGGTATCATGGCAACGCCGACAGCGGTATACGCAGCGATGATAGTAGCGACGCTGGTGGCGATGTTCGCGCCGACGAAGGCACGGCCAGCGCGGGCGCCGATGCGGATCCCGCCGACGACGCTGACGGCGTCCTCGCGTTGGTGATGAAGGCTTTGGAAAGAGTCCGACATGCGCGCGCGACGCGCGAGTGGCCCGCGCGATTTGAATGGGCGCGGATCGCGCCCCACCAGTACGCGCGCGAAGGCGCGCGAATGTTGTCGGCATGCGGCGCCAGAGGCTCGTTCGGCAGAATCACACGAACATGTTGAAGCCGATGGTACCCCCAGGAATGCGCAAGAACGCGCGCGCAAGCTCTTCTTGAAAGCTGATGATGCGAAACCAGATGTCTTTGCCTATGTTCTGGATATTCGGGCTTGAAACCGTCATGGAACAAAAAGTTGTTGAAGGATTTCGGCATGCGCGCCTTGCTTGATGAACGATTTATGAAAAACGAGTGCGCGCGCATAAAATTTGTTGCAGAGGACGGGGGGGGGGTCGATGCCGGCCCGCCTGGGATGGGGTGAACTCATAATTCGGATGGACGATGGGGCAGAACCGCGCGCAAACTGCAATGCCAGGAGGACGTTTAATAATCCCGGAGGGGGTCTCTGTTTTCTTCTTAGGACAGAAAACTCACATGTGGACCTCGCATTGTCAACTCCACTGCTCGCGCAATCATCCCACCCACCCATCGGCAACTTGTTCTGCAAATCGCATGCGGCGGCGATTTCGACGCGTGCTCGGCGCTGGCTGGTGCATCTCTGCGGCCGCGCTAGCCGGCGCATGCTCGCGCGCGCAGCGGCCAGCTAGGTCGGCGCCGCCGACGCGGCCGCGGCGGCGCTGATCGCCGAGCGCATCCCAGCGGGCACTTCGTTGCGAGTCGGCCACTTGGACGGGCGCGATACCACGGCAACGTCGACAACGGTAGACGCGACGATCATAATAATAACACTGGCGACGAAGATGACAACGATGATGGCGCGGCCAGTGGCGGCGCCTGTGCTGATGACGCCGACGACGATGACGGCGTCCTCGAGGCGTTAATGCAGAGTTTGGATGGAATTCGACGCGCCCTCGCGGCCGCCGCGCGAGTGGCCCGCAGGGTATCAGTTGACGCGGATCGCCCCCCCCCCCCCCCCCAAGCACGCGCGCAAGGGCGCTCGAATGATATCGACATGCGTTGCGAGAAGCCCGCTTGGCAGAATTCAATGGACATGATGAAACGCTGATGGTTGTCCTGTGGATTCAAAAGAGCGCGAGCACCGGCTTCTCTGTAAACTGATGTTGCGAAGCCATGTTGTACATGTTTCCGGGGCACTCGATTTTGAATTCCTTGCGAAAGCTAAAAGTTGTTGAAGGATTTCGGCATGCGCGCGCGACGGCGCGCGCGTGACCACTTCGTTTCATGTTTCGCACGAGCGATTTCTGGACACTTGGGATTTTTGGCAACCGAGCGCTGACCGGGCTGAGGGGGGGGGGTCGATGCCGGCCGGGATCGCCCGGGATTGCATGAATTCGCGCTGGATGGACGATGGGGGAGGATCATCTGTAAACTGCGCGTCCCCAGTGGGCGCCGATCAGTCCCGCCCGGGGAGGGTGGCGGGTCCGAATTTCATGCAGAAAGGAGAACTGCTCTTCACAAGTGAATTGACCAATCCCATGCCTTTGCAAACATCCCACCCGGCCCCCCGCAAATGGGCGTGCAAAACACATGCGGCGGCGATTGCGCTGAGTCCACGGCGTTGGCTGGTGCATCTCTGCGGCCGCGCTAGCCCGCGCATGCTCTCGCGCGCAGCGACCAACAAGTTTGGCGCGACCCGCGCGGCCGCGGCGGCGCTGACCGCTGGGCACTTCCAGCGGCCACTTTAGTGCGAGTCGGCGACGTGGGCGGGCGCGATATCATGGCGACGCCGACAACGGTAGACGTGAGTATGAGTGGCGATGATGGCGGCGACGGTGGCGACGACGACGGCAAGGCCCGCGACGGCACCGATGTTGATCGCGCCCGCCGACGACGATGACGATGTCCTCGCGCGGGAGATGGAGGTTTTGGAAGGAGCCCAACATGCGCGCGCGGCCGACACGCGAGAGCGGCCCGCGCGGTGGACGTTGAGACAGATCGCGCCTCCCAGCACGCGCGCAAGAGCGTTCGGATGAGTTCGGCATGCGGCGCGAGAGGCCCGTTTGGCCGAAGTTGCTGGACATGTTGGACAACCTATGGTGTCCTTAAGAATTCGCCAGAACGCGCGCGGGATCCTCGTGAATTGATGTTACAACACCATTCGTTTGGTTGTGCGTTTTCGGAACACTCTTGTCTGAAATCCCTACGACACCCAATGCTTGTTGAACGATGTCGGCATGCGCGCGCGACGACGCGCGCGACTGCACTTCGCCCCGCTTTCTGTCAGGCATTCTTGCGATAGCACGCGCGCAAGGGCGTTCGAAAGATTTCGTCGCACGCGCACGGTGAGTCCCGTTTGGTAACATGCCATTCGAATACTCGAGAAACAACTTCCGGTTTTTCTGAAAAATTCGCCAGAGCGCTGGCGCAGGCATTTGTTGGAAACCCGCGTTGCGAAACCACTTCATGTTTCCGTGGCTCTCGATTCTGAACTCCTTACGGAACCTACGGTTCTCGGAAGATTCCGGCATTCGCGCGCGACGACGCGCGCGTGCGCAGTTCGTATCACGTTTGCTTTAAAACAATGAAAATGGCAAGTGACGTTTGGAAACGTGTGGTTTTTGATAAACAAATGCGCGCGTATAGTTGTTGTTGCAGAAGGTGTGAGGGGGAATCTCTGGCCGGCCTGGGATGGTCTGATTTCATACTTGAGATGGACAATGGGGCAGAATCATATGTGAACTGCACGTATCCAGGGGATACTGATAAGTCCCGCCTCTGGAGGGTGGTGGGCCCGAATTTCATGTAGAAAAGGTGAACTGCATGTTACAGATGAATGGACACATCCCATGCTCTTGCAAACACCCCACCCACCCGCAAATTGGTTTGCAAAACCCATGCGGCGGCGATCGCGATGAGTGCTTGGCGTTGGCTGGTGCATCTCTGCGGCCGCGCTAGCCCGCGCATCATGCTCGCGCGCACAACGGCCAGCTAGTTTGGCGCGACCCACGCGGCCGCGGTGGCGCTGACCGCTGGGCCCTTCACAGCAGGCATTTCTGTGCGAGTCGGTGACGTGGGCGAGCCCGGTATCATGGCGACGCCGGCAACGTTAGACACCATTGTGAGAGTGGCGATGATGGTGGCGATGGTGGCGATGACGACAGCAAGGCCCACGACGGCGCCGATGATGATCACGCCCGCCGACGACGATGACGATGTCGTGGCGTCGGAGAAGAAAGTTTTGTAAGAAGTTCGACATGCGCGCCGTGCCCCTCCCCCAACACGCGCGCAAGGGCGTTTGGATGAGTTCGGCATGCGGTGCGGGAGGCCCGCTTGCCACCATGTGATGCAGGAGCAGGAGGAGGAGGAGCAGCAGGAGAGGATGATGATCATGAGGAGAAGGGGCAGTGACGAGGGGGGGAGGAGGAGGGGAAGGAGGAGGGGAGGAGGAGGAGGTGGAGCAACAGCAGGGAGGGCCTCCCCCCCGAGGGGGCGGGGCACGGGCCCTGGGCCCCGGGCGGGCCCGGGCTTCCCTCCGCCGCCCGGCCCTCGCCCTCGCGCGCCCGCGCCCGGGCGCGGCGGCGCCCCGTCCTCGGCCGCCGCCCCGGGGGCCTGCGCCGCGGGCTCCTCCTGCTGCGAGGAGGAGGAGGAGGAGGAGGAGGAGGAGGAGGAGGAGGAGGAGGGAGTAGGAGAGGAGGAGGAGGAGGAGGAGGAGGAGGAGGAGGGAGGAGGAGGAGGAGGAGGAGGAGGAGGAGGAGGAGGAGGAGGAGGAGGAGGAGGAGGAGGAGGAGGAGGAGGAGGGGAGGACAGGGCCTGCCTCATCGCCATGGTGGTCATGAGGGTGATACTTGCCCAGAGATCCGACGCTCCAGCAAAAATTGGAGCGGGCGGTTCTTGGCCGTTTCGGCCTCTAGGGGCCCTCGCCGGACCTCGGGAGCGTCAACAAAACCACTCAGGACGAGAAGCTGGCCCTGGGGAAGTGGTCCGGACCTCCTGGCCCCATGAGAATTACAGAACATGAACGTGCTCAGGGGCTACCTGACCTCGGGGCCCGAGGAGACGCATCAAATCCCCCATAGGGAAGCGACAAGCAGCTCAGGGCGGACGTCATCGTCGTCCTCAGAGCGCACTGATTACCTGGAGTGCGAGACTGGACAGGGCGGGCCAGGTGGGACGATGTGTCCCTTACCGGCAACTGATGCTACAGGGGGCGTGTAGCCCACAAGAGTGCACCTGTGCAACCATTTGCTCCTTGTGTGAACGTGTTCTTCAGGCCTGTTGGAGCCAATGCGGCCAGGTTCGTGTCGTGCCGACCCTGGCGCTGGTCTCTGACACCGCAGGGACCGGTAAACTTGAACGATCGGCCGTTTCCGAAACGTCGGATCGCTCAACGTCGAAGGATTCTGGGTCCCCGGCGGTGTGCACCGTTGAACGCCAGAGGCGGGATCGCCTCCGGTCGACACGACGCGAACCTGCCGTACTTATTTCCCTCCCGAGGAGACACAACCTCCAACCAGCCACGCAAACCTCGCACCTCATCCGGCCCTGCGTGGCACATCGCATTGCCATAGAAGCGGCGAGGCAGAGCTAGGACGAGGAAGTAGAGAACGAAGACGAGAAGGATGGAGAGTGGGTGGCGTGGTCACCGAGATTGGCTGCCAGTGTGTATCATCTGCCGCTCGATATCGGCGAGGGTGAAGCATAGGTTCGACGAACTTGGTGGCAGATGAGGTGGGTGGTCATCATGGCCATCACCATAACGCGTAAGGACGGCGACGATGAAGATGAATCTGAAGATGAAGACGAGGATGAAGATGAAGATGATCTTGATGATAAAGGTGATGTTGGTGAGGAAGATGATGCTGCTGCTGATGACGATGATGATGATGATGATGATGATGATGATGATGATGATGATGATGGTGATGCTGATGCTGATGATGCTGCAGATGATGATGATGGCGAATGACGACTCATGGCTTACGATGCTGATCGCTGTTGCTCGTCCGCCTGGGGTGGGGGAGCGAAAACAGCATCTGTGGCACGCCGCCGTGGGTTGCCCGTCCCCACGTGCTACTACTGCTAACGATATTATTACCGATTTCCACCAACAGTTCCTGCATTCAGGGAGGAGGAGGAGGAGGAGGAGGAAGAAGAGGAGGCGGAGGAGGAGGAAGAGGAGGAGGAGGAGGAGGAGAACCAGGAGGAGGAGAAGGAGGAGAAGGAGGAGGGGGAGGGGGGCTCTTGCGTGTTTTCTGGTGTGGAAGGGGAGGGGGAGGAGGGGAAGGAGGAGAGCTTTTTCTGAGCAGCTAGGCTGGGGCGTCGGTCTGGCAGCTATGTGGCCGCCGTCGCCGCCCCGTCACCGCCTCGTCGCCGCCCGTCGTCTGGCCTGGTGTGCCAGTCTGGTGGCCATGTAGCTGCCGTCGCCGCCCCGTCGCCGCCTCGTCGCCGCCCGTCGTGTGGGCTGGTGTGCTGGTCTGGCGGTTATGTGACCGTCGTCGCCGCCCCGACGCCGCCTCGTCGCCGCACGAAAAGATTGTGCCACATAGGTTGTAGAACGTAGCTTGCACCACATAACCTACACCCCATTGATGGCACAACCTAGATGTCATCACACATATTACGCCACATATATTGCATCACGTCGGTTGCACAAACCATATATTGCACAAGGCATATAACATATAACCCCAGGAAGCATTTAAGAACCCCCCCGGCGATATCGTAGCACCGCATTTGTTATTCGATATCCCGAAGGGCCGAAATAACCGAACGATAGCTGTCGCACCCGGACACGATGATGATGATGATGATGATGATGATGATGATGGTGATGATGATGATGCGGATATGGATGATGGTGCGGAAGGGTTATCGATTTGCCGGAAGGGGGGGGGGTTCTTAAATGCTTCCTGGGGTTACAGATAGTACGAGACAGTGATGGCACAACATGGATGGGATCACATACGCCGCACCGTCGATAGCACAAACCACAGCTTGCACCACATATAATTCACTGCGTATGAAGAACCAAATATACGATCATGTGTCAAAATGACTAATAAAATCAAACCCCCCGTTCTACCTGTTCCCCCTTTCGTCTTGCGATTTACATGCGATTATGCCCCATCATCCATCCGCAATATGAATTCGAATCATCCCAAATAGACCCGTATCTCCCCATTTCCACGTTCTGCAGGAACTACTATGCGCGCACATCCGTTGATCAACAAACAACAGTGTGCAACAATCTTTTGCAACACCACAAAAACTTGACGTAGTGCGCACGCACGCGTCGTCCCGCGCACATGTCGAACTCCTTAAAAAAAAACATTTCGGTTTCGCAGGAAGTGAATACTGATTGCAAAGTCGATTGTGCCGAAAACATTTACAAACACATAGTTGCGCAACTAGAATTTTCAAACACAAATGGCGCTCGGGCTCTTACGAACTTTTCCGACAAACAACCATCGGCTTCCCAATAATTTCATGACGTGCTACCAAGCGCACCTGTCGCGCATGCGCGGGTGTCGGAATCGTTCGAACGCCCTTGCGTGCCTGCTGTGGCAAGAACCCCCTGCAAAACATAGGACGACATGCGCGCGCGCGCCGTCGCGCGCGCATGCCGGAATCCGTCAAAAACCTTGCGCTGCGTAAGCATTTCGCAATCGAGAATCACGAACACATCAGAGAACACATGGTTTTGCAAAATCAGATCTCGAAGAATTCTGCGCTCGCGCACGTGCGGTCTCTGAAGAAAGAACATCGGTTACCCAACATGTTCATCAAACTTTGCCAATCGGGGCGCTCGCGCCGCATGTCGGACTCATTCGAACGCCCTTGCGCGCGTGCTGGGGGAGGGCACGACATGTGTCAAAACATACTACGCGGCCCAATCGCGCAAACCGGTCGCGATCGCATGTCGAACTCCTTCAAGAACCTCCATCGCCGACGCGAGGACATCGTCATCGTTACCGGCGGCGCCGATGTTTGCCTTGCCGTTGTCATCGCCACCATAGTCACCATCATCGCTACCCTCATAGTCGCGTCTACCGATATCGGCGTCGCCATGATACCGCGCCCGCCCAAGTCACCGACTCGCACTGCAATGCCCGCTGCGAGTGCCCAGCGGTCAGCGCCACCGCGGCCGCGTCGGTCGCGCCAAACTAGCTGGCCGCTGTGCGCGCGAGCGTGCGCGGGCTAGCGCGTCCGCAGAGATGCACCAGGCAACGCCAAGCACTCATAACAATCGCCGCAGCAAAGGTTTGGCAAATAAAATTGCGGGGGGGTGGATGGGATGTTTGCAAGGGCATGGAATTTGTCATTACATTTCCTTCGCAGCAGTGGCGGGGTGACACGCTGACGGGCCCCCCACGGCGGCGTGTCTTTAATGTTTTTCCCTCCCGAGGGGACAGGGTCCATGACACCCTCGCGCCGTCTATGCTCATACGTTTCCGGCTGGCTCTTGAAGGCTATCGCCTCGGGATGCCTTCCGACAGCTGCGCCTCGTCGAGGGCGTTCTGGGGTGCCCGGATCGCCCGATCGACCTCTAGAAGCCCAAGCCATGGCCAGGAAGCCAGACATCCTCGCGTCGTGCTCAGATCCCGACGCAAGCTGTTGAGCGGCCCCCGGCCTCCCATGTCGGGGGCGTCCAAGAGGGGGGGGGGTCCAAGAGGGGGAGGCCGAAATCATGGCCAGCGAGGTGTGCGCGGCCTGGGTGGAGAGCGCTGGGGACGTATTGCAGCAAGAAGGGGCGCCATGGCATCTTGGCACATGTCGTGGCCCCCGCCATGATATCCGTCCCCGCCTGGTCATCCCCCCCCTTGGCAGTTCCCGACCATGGGCCCGTGCTGGGCCCCCCGCAGGACCGTCAACAAGGAGCGGCCCGGGAGGAGAAGCCCCGCCCCGGGGATGGGAGGGGGCACGGGCTGGGCAGGAGAAGGGCTGGAGGAGGGAGCGCGCCCCTCCTCCTCCTCCTCCTCATCCTCCTCCTCCTCCTCCTCCTCCCCTCCCCCTCCTCCTCCTCCTCCTCCTCCTCCTCCTCCTCCTCCTCCTCCTCCTCCTCCTCCCTCCTCCTCCTCCTCCTCCTCCTCCTCCTCCCTCCTCCTCCTCCTCCTCCTCCTCCTCCTCCTCCTCCTCCTAGGGGTGACACGGTGCGAACAAGCGCAGGCATCCGAGGGTACGGTTTTTGCTACAAAACGGGCAAGCGCGTGCCACGACTCGCAAAGGGACTGCTCCCAAATGGCCTGGATCCTCCGCAGGGGGATTACGATACGGTGGGGCAGACGTGCTTTTGCTCGGACGTTTGCGAGTAACGCGCTCGGTGAGCAAAACGACTTCCCAAAGGTCTGGATCCCTTGCCGTGAACCTCACGGGCTGTTTTTTACAGCCCTGTGAGGGCCCCCAGAGGTCGAGAAAGGGAAACAAACACAAGAACATCCCGTCGTGATGTTTCCTCACAGCCCAAGGTTGTCAGCTTCTCGGGCCGCAGCTGCCCGGCCTCCGGCGGCCGATCGGCACGACCTGGGCACTCCTGCAACGCTCTCGACGACCCGCGGCAGCTGGAAGTAATCCCGAAGCGAGAGCACTGCAAGGAACCGACGAAGACGTCTGCAAGCCGCCGAGAATGTCGAGGTGAGGGAAGACCCGAAGGTCAAACATCGGCCCTCGGACTTGCCCCAGGGTGACGTCTGGCTAGAATGCCAAGGGGGCTCCCGGCCGTGGTGACGCAGGCGCATCAGGTGGCACAGGAAGGGCGAACAGCATCAAGAGGACACCCCGAGGCGAGAAACCCCTCAAAGATCCAACGCCTCCGACGCGAACACGGACGGAAGCCCAACAACCCATGCTCCTCGCTAAGTCGTGGGCTCCACGTTGTGCCATCAATCGCCTTCACGTGTTGCCTCTGCGTGAACGCGAGCACAGCGTTCGTGCACCGTGCGGTAGCCACTTGGGCCCATGCCTGACGAAGGGGGCTAAGAACCCGACATGCGTCGCATGTATTAAACGGCATCTTGCGCTGTGCCCTGTGAGAAGCTGGGACCGAAAAATCCGTGAAACCGACCAGCTTGGGGACCGAAACGAAGCTGTGACCTGCAATTCCTCCAACAATGCTTGCACTAGGGGGTCGTACTTCTTTTCGAAGGAGCTGGGCCTGTTTGCCGCTCTGGAGGCTATGCGGCCGCGGGCGCCGCCCCGTCGCCGCGTCGTCGCCGCCCGTCGTCTGGGCCTGTCTGCCTCTCTGGCGGTAGTGTGGCTGCCATCGACGCCCCTTTGCAGCCTCGTCGCCGCCCGTCGTCTGGGCCTGTCTGCCGCTATGGCGGCAATGTGGCTGCCGTCGTCGCCCCGTCGCCGCGTCGTCGCCGCCCGTCGTCTGGGCCAGTCTGCCTCTCTGGCGGTAGTGTGGCTGCCATCGACGCCCCGTCGCGGCCCGTCGTCTGGGCGTAACAGTCGGTCTGGCGGCTACGTGGCCGCCGTCGCCGCCGCTTTGCCGCCTCGTTGCCGTTCTTCGTCCTGGCCTGACGGTCGGTCTGGCGGCTATGGTGCCGCCGTCGCCGCCCCGTCGCCGCCCCGACCCCGCCTCGTCGCCGCAACAAGGACTGCATCACATAGATTGCACCTCATATATTGTACAACACATACTGCACAACATAGCTTGTACGACATACTGGCACCACAGAACTTGCTCTACATAGATTGCACAACATATCTGGTGCACCACGTATATTGTACCACAAACATTGCACATAATAGATTGAGCCACGTCGACTGCACCACGTAGATTGTTCCACATATGTTGCACCACATAGTTCGCACCACATCTGTTACACCATATATATGGCAGTTGTGAGGTTGCACAACACACATTGCACAACGTATATTGCACAACCTAATTTGCGCAGTATATATTTTTAACGTAGGTGAAACTGTATAGTTTGTACCTCATACAGATTACTCCACATATATTGCACACCATACATGTACTAGGGATCCACCACACAAGTTGTACAGCATGTATTGCACAACTTGCACCGCTAGATATACACTGTGTTGGGTCCACGCCAGCTACCATTTATTTTTTGGCATTGCAAAGAAAAGGTTCGGCCTCCAATAACTTCTGGTCAAACAAGTTCTAGACGAAATCGAATCACAACAAGCTTCACACACATAAAACTTTCGGAGCTCCTCGCAGATCCCTTTGACCGGCGCTGGACTCCTCCCTGGCGCGCGAAGCGCGCTAGGGGCGACGCAGAAGGGGCCGCCAGGGGAATAAGAAATTCGCGCGAGCCTCCGACAGTCCATGTTTACTGAACAACTCCTCATTCAAATCACCATCCAGCGTTTCGCCGCGGCGGCGGCCGTTATCGTCGCGCCTCGCCCAGCATCGCCTTCTCGCTCGGCGGAGGCTCCTTGCCGATAGCGCTCGTCGTCCGCAACGCCGCCGCCAGGTCGTCGGCGTCATCGCCGGCGCCGTTGGCGTCGCCCTCGCCGTCCTCGTCGCCGTCGCCGCCGCCGTCGCCACCCCAGATCTCCGAGGACATGAGCATCTCTTTGATCCCGGCGTTCTTCCTCCGCTTCGGCCCCTGGGTGGGGGCCCGCAAACAGGGTGCCCCGGCGCCATCGAAAATGGGCCCAGGACGACAAACTGTTCCCTGGGATAGGGTCGGGGGACCTTTGGGGCAGCGCATCGACACAAAACAAACATCGGAGGATGTCTGGGACCGCTGACATCGGCGTCGTCGGCGTCGTCGCCGGCGTCGGCCTCGGCGTCGGCCTCGGCGTCGTCTTCGTCGTCGTCGTCGTCGGCATCTTCGTCCTCGTCCTCGCTGTCTTCCTGCGATCATCCCTCCTCCTGCTGCTGCTCATCCTTCTGCTCCTTCCTCTTCTCCTCCTCCTCCTCCTCCTCCTCCTCCTCTTCCTCCTCCTCATCCTCCTCCTACTCCTACTTCCTGCCTCCTACTCCTACTCCTACTCCTCATTTCCTTATCCTCTACCATCAAAGTCGGCCCAAGACTCTCTGGAAGCACAGTCTGACCAGGACTGCGAAGCGAATCCCCCTCCATGCATCATCCTTATAAGAACCTCCCCGTCGCATCACCAGGCGTGTCGGTCGGTCAGGCGGGCCTGGCTGTTCGGCAGAGACATCCTCCTCGCCTGGGACATCATCTTCGCATGTGCCTCTCGTACTAGCGTCGCGTACACTTGTCGTAAAGACTTCCTAGTGGCACACACGAAAAGAGCGATCCGTGTTCAAAATGTTGCGCTCGCGCTAGCGCCACCCGCTTTTGTTTGGAAAGCCAAGAACAGGGGGCGGTTAATATACCAAATTGCGCTCGCATCAGAAGTTCCCAACAAATCCAGTCTCACTGATACAGGGCGGCTCCTTTCTAAAACGGGGCTCCTGCGGAATACGTCTTGACAGTTTGATGCGATCCTAAATTTGACACCTCCCAACTAGAAGGGTGGAGGGCCGCTTCTTTTCAGAATTGAGCTCCCGCCTGAATGGAAAGTCCATGGGCCGCTCGTCCTTCCAGGAGGCGCTTCCCGAAGTGAGAAGCAATGCCTGTAAGGACCTTTGTGGAGTGGACTCGGGTTCGACAGATGTGTTGCAGCATCGTGGTTCATGCGATCTTCCTTTTCCACAACCTTCTCCTCTTCGCTCACCTACTCCCCTCCTCCTCCTCCTCCTCCTCCTCCTCCTCCTCCTCCTCCTCCTCCTCCTCCTCCTCCTCCTGCTCCTCCCCCTCCGTCTCATCCTCGTCCACCTCCTCCTCCTCGACCAGGGACCCAAGCATCCAGGCACCTTGAAAACAATCAGGGCAAAAGGCTTCTCTAGAATTTGGGCCCTCTGGAAGCCGTTTTCGGGCACTAGGATGGAGTCGAGAGACCACCAACTCTGTTTCCTCCTCATCGCCTGGGGAGGAAGGAGTAGGCTGTAGGATGGAAGACAAGGAAGATGGGGATCGTGATGTTTTTACCCTGCTTGGGCTTCTGGGGGACGAAAGGGGGGCTTCGTTGCCACCGTTGGGTCAGGCTCGGAATTCTGGTCAGTTTGCGCTCCAGGACAAATCTGATGCCGATTCTGAATGAGAGTCAAGAGGCACTGATGATGGATGTGGATAATTAAGGGACCTCCTAGAACTCGAACTTGGACCTCTGAAGCCCTGCTCTCCCCCCTCCTCCTCCTCCTCCTCCTTCTCCTCCTCCTCCTCCTCCTCCTCCTCATCCTCCTCCTCCTCGTGCTCATCCGCCTCCCTCCTACTCTGTCTCTCATCTCCCATATTCCTCCTCCTGTTTCTCCGTCTCCTGTCTCCCCTGCTTCTCCCAATCCCCTTCCTCCTTCCGCTCTGGGGGTTCTGGGGGTCCGCTGGTGGACTCTGGAGAGGCTTTTCGGGCTGCCATCCCTCTCCTCCCATACGTACTCCCCCTCGCCCCTTCACCGGGGGAGAGCGAGACGAAGGAAGAGCCGATAGGGAGAGGGGGGGGAGAGGGGGACGAGCCATAGGACGCTTCACGGTCCCCGAACCCCTGCCTGAGCAACACCGCCCAAAGGCGCATGCGCCACAGCATGCCCAGGCGGGCGAAGAGGCGTGCTGGCTCGGCTGGGGCTCGGCCCCCCGTCGAGGGAGGCTGACCAGTGGGCCTGCGGCAGCGGCATGCCCAGGTGGTCGCGGAGACCCCACAGCTAGGGGAGCAAAAAGTGACATAAACATAAAAACTCGGAGGTCCGCGCGGATTTCTCGGATCGGCGCTGGGGCCCCCCGGCGGCGCCTCCGGCGCCGCCCCTGGCACGCTCCGCGCGCCAGGGAGGGGGGTGCAGCGCCGATCCGAGAAATCCGCGCGGTCCTCCGAGTTTTTATGTTTATGTCACTATTTGTTCCCCTAACGGCGTACTTGGGGGGTAACGATAGGGGGGGGGGCTGGCATAGGGGGAGGACTGGCGTGGGGGCTACCGGGCCCCTATCGGCGATCAACGGGCGACTGTCTGGGGTGTCGATGTATGCCCCCCTTATTCCTATCCCCCCTCATCGTTGCCCCCGAATGCTCACACACACACGGGCCAAGAACTTCTGGCGCGTGCGGCACACCAGCTGTTGGGGCGCGGCGGGAGGAGGGGAGCAGGACCGAGGCGGCGCCTGGGGCCCCCGACCGCGCGGGCAGCTCTCCGAGAGCGAAGATGTTTGAACTCCGCGCCGAGCGCGAATCCATACCCCATGCCTTCGGAACCCGGGAGGCCTTCTCTCTTTCCCCCCTCGCGTCCTGGTCCCTATCATCCTGTCTCGCTCCTCCCCTTCCTCCTCCCCTTCCTCTCCCACCTCCTCCTCCTCCTCCTCCTCCTCCTCCTCCTCCTCCTCCTCCTCCTCCTCCTCCTCCTCCTCCTCCTCCTCCTTTTCCCTCATTTCCTCATTTCCTCATTTCCTCAGTTCCTCATTTCCTCCTTTCCTCCTTTCCTCCTCCTCCTCCTCCTCCTCCTCCTCCTCCTCCTCCTCCTCCTCCTCCTCCTCCTCCTCCTCCTCCTCCTCCTCCTCCTCCTCCGCCTCCTCCTCCTCCCGCTCCCCGAACCGACCCCGCTCGTGTGCTGGCCGACCCGCAGGTCCTCCGGCGGCCGCAGCAGCGCCTCGTAGTCCTCCTCGCCGCCGCCCTCCGCGCCCCCGGGCGGCAGCGCACCCGCGCGGGCGCTCTCCGGCAGCAGGTCCTCGAGGCCCGGCGGCACCTGGCTCGCGCGCGGGGGCAGCTCCCAGAGATCTCGAGGGGCCGCAGGGCCAGACAACTACAAAGACTTGTACCTCCTCCTCCTCCTCCTCCTCCTCCTCCTCCTCCTCCTCCTCCTCTGAGCCTCCTCCTCCTCCTCCTCCTCCTCCTCCTCCTCCTCCTCCTCCTCCTCCTCCTCCTCCTCCTCCTCCTCCTCCTCCTCCTCCTCCTCCTCCTCCTCCTCCTCCTCCCCTCCTCCTCCTCCTCCTCCTCGTCCTCCTTCTCCTCCTCCTCCTCCTCCTCCTCCTCCTCCTCGTCCTCCTCCTCCTCCTCCTCCTCCTCCTCCTCCTCCTCCTACTCCTTCGCTTCCTCCCCCACCCTCCTAGCCCCTTCGATCACGATCGGCGGCACCGGCCGTCAGGCCTCTCCAATATGAAGACTTATACGGCGGCGGCCAGGCAGCATAACGGCGCCGGCGGGGGAGCAGTGACCACGGGGATGCCGTTGAAGCGGCTTGCGCCGCCGTGCAGGAAGATGGCGGGGGACGGGGAGGGCGGCCGAAGGAGGAGGGAAGGAGCGAGGGCCGCTCAGGGGGACGGGTCGCACCCGGATCGAGTGGCGCGGCCGGCCCCGCCGGCGGGGGAGGCGGCGGCTGCTGCATCGGGGCCCAGCGGCGGCAAGTATACGAATCCCAGGATTCCCCCGTATGTCTGTCTGCTTCCTTGCTGTTCGTCTCCGCCCCCACGTCCCTCATGTTCCCATCTCCTCCTGGGAGCCGGCGTTTCGTCGATTGTGACTGGGCAGCTCCCCCTCCTGAAGATCACCCGTCACCGAAGATCTGCGGCAACGGACTTCGGACGCGCCGGCTTTCGGCCGCGACCAGAGCGGGGGCGAAGCCCGGCAACGAAGAGGCGGCGCGTCGGGGTCCGAGCGAAGGGTGCAGCGCCGTCGACGGCTCGCGCTGCACACGTGCTGGAAGGCGCGACCCGCGGGCCGAATTTTTCGGTCGCGACCCGGTCGTCAAGAGCGCGACCGAACACTCCCTGTATAACGAAGGATCTGGGCTGGGTCTAACAGGGGGTATATATATAGGGGGCAAACAAACCTGCCTCGCTTTTGACCACCCTCGCTTCCAAGAGATACCAAGCGATGCCAAACTACGGCCTGTACCGGCCAGGCCGCTTGACGAGGAGGCGCGTGGTATGACTTGGTTTTGCCTGGAAGCGAAAGCGGGGTAGGCAATTCACGCTCTGAGTATATGGCGACCCCAATCCCCGACTTCGCAGGGAATCCGAACGGACCAGCAATCCGAAGCCAAACCCGGGGATTTACGCCAGAGGGGGCGTCCCTCCTCGATAGCGGTGCGGCCGAACAGCCCCTGGGCGTGTATCCCCGAGTTCCAGGAGAGCCCGGAATCGAATCGACAAGTCGGATCGGCGATCGAACTTGAATCGTATCGGCGGAGATCGGCAAGCAGGTCGGGAGAAGTCGAATCGGCGGAAATCGGCGGGACACCAAGTCTCCGTTGAGAAATCGAGGTTCAAATCGGAATCCGAGGTCGCATCAAAGCGGAATCGGAATCCATCGAAATCGAATCGAATCGAGTCGGAAGAATCGGAGCAAGTCCTGGAGTTCCCCCACCGTATACCTGGCGCCCAAGATTGTTCGGGTGGAACTCGGGAGGTCGGGGGCGGGAGCTCGCCTGCGAGGGGCTGGCCCAAGGCCCCCGCCGTGGCAGCCAGTCTCCCCCCATTCGACGACCGTCAGGGGCTACCACAGGTGCCCCCAGCCCAACAGGTGCCCCCAGCTTCTTTCCCTTCCTCTGGGAGCCGCTGGGGCCCCCCGGGCCTCGCGAGGGGGTGCTCTGGAGGCAGCGGGGGCCTCCCTGGAGATCCTGGGGGCACCTTGGGCACGTCCAGCAACACCCGAGTTAGGGCGCGCCCTGAGATCTGGGCGTTGCAATCTGTCCACAGCGGGCGGTCTCGCCCGGGCTCAGGCCCCAGGACCATCGTTGATCAATCTGGCTCGACAGATGCACCCCTGGGGTCCGTGGCTCCGGTCGCGATGCTTCGCGATGCTGTAACTTTACGTCTCCCCTTCACGAAAAAAACCTCACACAAAGAAGCAAACTTGCAACATCGCGAAGCATTGTTTCGCCTCCCTTGTGACGAACATCCTGGAGGCCTCGCTCGGCAACTTCAGACCCAGCTTGCGTCGGATTTACGTCGGATTTGCGCCGGGCTCACGTCGAAGTGACGTCGGACTTACGGCGGAACATCGCCGCGCGAACGTCGTCCCCTTTCTCTGCCGGAGCGGACGTGTCGCCTGGGAAATACAGCTATGGCTCGCGGTGCGAGGCTCTCAGGAGACTCCTCGTAGTCAGTCTCCCCACTTGCCGACTCCTGCACAAACAAAAACTCGTGTGTGTAGAATTCGACAAGCTTGCTCGTCTGGCATCCCCCCTTTCTCCCCCGCCCCCCCCCCGCCCCCCCCCCTGCGGCGTTTTCTTTGCTTCGATCTCAGCCCCTGGAGCCCGTCGTCGGATCCACGGGACATCCACAACGGGCCCGGGACCCCCGGGGGGAAGGGTCGGGGACTCTCTGGGGCCGCATGTTGGAGAGTCATGCCGGAGGATGTCTAGGTCAGGCCCTCCCCGGGGGCGACGTCGGGCCCCAAGGGCCCTCAGAAAGCGGCCGGGGGCCCGGGCACCCTCGCGTCGTGCGCAGAGCACGACACGAGGCTTCTGCTGCAGTTCTCGGCCTCTGGAAGCTGGGTCCTTGGAAAAACAGCTCGGGGTGAAAAGCAGCCTGTTCCTGGGAAGGGGTCCAGCCCACTTGGGAGCCACGTTGCGAAACGACTCACCACGTCGGACGTCTAGGGGTCGAGTCGCGAGGCTGTGCTGTAACCGAAACAAACACATGTCGTCGTCGTCGGTCTGGGCAAGTGTCCTATATCCCGACCTGGCCCGCCGCTACCCCATCGGTTCCCATGAAGATAAGAACACTACCCACGGAGTGGCAAGGGACTGGCACCACACACATCCGATCCCCACCATGTAGATACTGCAAGTGTCTTCAAAATCGGGCTTGTGTCAAAAGCCGTTGTCTACGCTGCATCCATCCCAACCTAGACTCGGTAAAACTAGATCTCGGCTAAAATAGGTCGGGAGTTGTCGGTCGCTGGTCGACCTAGATAAAAATGACGCACACTAGATCGGCTCGCAAGTGTTCCCCTGACTCGGTCCCCCTTTGAGATGTTCTTTATCCCTCTCTCTCTTCCTCTCCTTCTCTCACTCTCGCCGTCTCTCTCCCTCTCTCTCCTTCTCCCTCTCCCTCTCTCCATCTCTCTCCCTCTCGCCCTCTCTTTATTTCTTTATTTCAATCGCAATAGCAGCGTCTGAAGCAGCCCGCATCAGTCAGCATCAGTCAGCAGAAGCGGCGGCAGCAGCATAAGCAACAACAGCAGCACCAGCACCACCATCCAGAGAAGCGCAAAGAGCATCAGCAAGAGCAGTAGCAGCGGCAACAACAACAACAACAACAACACCACCACCACCACCACCACCACCACCACCACCACCAACAACAACAACAACAACAACAACAACAAGAGCAGCAGCAACAACAGCAGCAGTTCGAGCGGTAGCAGCAACAGCAGCGGCAACGGCAGCAACAGAAGCAACAGCAGCAACAGCAGTAACAGCAGCGGCAGCAATAGAAAAAGCGAAAGCTGCGGCAACAACACCGGATACTGCGACAAGTCTCCAACATCTGGGGAAAACCGTCTCCACATTTCGGGGCCGTTCACGCATGCCGGTGACAAAAAAAGGATAAACTCGGCCCCGAATTTTTGCCCCCCCCCCCCCCCCTCCCGAGGCACTCGAACAATTTCATTGTTTGAATTGCTCAGAACTCGCTCTGGGGAGGGCAAGGACTTTGGGCCATTGTCAAACCAGAGCCACGCTCGCGCTTCGCGGGCTTGGGGGTCTCCAGCAGCACAACTCAATATCGCGACACAGTGGCTGCATGTCGCAACATCTGCCTCGCACGTGTCTTGACATCTTTTCGGAAGTCCTCGCGGTCGCCCTGCCCTCCACCCATCTCCATCACTGCTCGGGCTTCCCCCGCCCCACTTCCTCCTTCTCCTCCCTCTGGGTCCTTCCCAATCCACTTTACGCGTCGCTGTTCTATGACGCTCCTCAGCTGTCGTCCGTCACTACTGCTTATTCCGCGTTTCCTGCTCCCTCCTCCGTCAGCCATCTTTGAGGAGGGGCGACAGAGGGACGGGTAAGGGAAGGGACGGATTGGCGACCAAAGCCGAATCGATATACCGCATCATCCTCACCATCCTCCTTCTCATCATCAACATCAGCATCACCACAACCATCGTCACCACTCATCGTACAATCTCGTCCGACGCCTTTTGGATGCATTTTGAGGCGTTTCCGAGACAATGCCAAAACGACTCCACCAGATCACTCCATCACAACGAGATAATGCCACAACAAGGTCGAATCAATCCTATCCTCAACCAACCCTTCTCCGCTCTCTCCATCATGCCATTCCTCCTTACTCGTCTATCCGTCTCGTGCTCGCCCTGCTCCTACTGCTTCTGCTCCTGCTGCTGCTACTCATGTTCCTCCTCCACCTCCTACGCATCTCCCTCCCATCCCTGCTGCGGGCAATGACTGGCGTGGAAGATGAAGATGATGTTCTGGGATGGACGGGAAGAACGAGCGTGCCCTGCTCTCGGGACAAAAACCCTGAACGACAAGCGTGCGCCCTGGCGCCCCAAGTGACCCACCCCAGGAGCACCTCTACGCGTGCACAATATCGCAGTCATGCGAAGGAGCCTGGACGAATAAAGGCCATCTTGGGACACGTTTCGGAGAAAGGAAGGGGTACCAGGGATGACGGAGGGAAAGTCATGGACCATCTTGGGACACATTTGGGGACCTCCTCGGGCACTGCTTGTGGTCTCTCCACGGCTCTCTCAGCACCACGTCGAGTAAATACAGCAAGGACTCACGAACATACCGACCACCTAAAGAGATCACTCGGATTGTGCCAGCCTTTCGTTATCGGCAATTGTCTTGAGGCCCTCTTATGGCACTTCTGGGGCGTCTTGGGATCATCTTGGAGCATCATGGACCATCGATGTCCCTCCTCCCTAGGCTGTCGGGTGGGGCCCCTCTTGTGAAGTAGAGGGAGGGGCGATCGGGTCCTCTTGTGGCCTCCTGGACGAGCCCGGAGGGGGCTCTGAGAGGCTCTAGGCGGGGAGGGTGCCCTGGATGTTCTCCTGGGTCCCCGGGTGGGGAGGGAGAACCAGGCCCCGGTGCCAGTGCTCGCGTGCAGCGTCTGGCGCAGCAGAGGGACACTGCCCGAATACTGGGGGGCACCGTTGGCTTCGAAACGAGAGCGCTTTCGTTGCTGAAGGCGCAATACAGGGCTCGGGTCACGGTGAGGGGTGTGCAACCATATTAAGGTACCTATTTGACCACCCTTCGGGTGATAAGGAGACTGTGCGGGGGGAGAGGGGGGGGAACCAACATCTGACTCAATCGATCTCACTATCGATCTCACTCAACGGGACACCACGGGACACCACGGGACACCACAGGACACCACGGGACACCGCGGGACACCTCTCGATCTCAGTATCGATCTCAGTATCGATCTCACTCAACGGGACACCACGGGACACCACGGGACACCTCGGGGCACCACATCGATCTCACTATCGATCTCACTATCGATCTCACTATCGATCCCGCTCAACGGGACACCACGGGACAGCACGGGACACCACGGGACACCTGTCGATCTCACGATCGATCTCACTCAACGGGACACCACGGGACACTACGGGACACCTCGGGGCACCACATCGCTCTCACTATCGATCTCACTATCGATTTCACTCAACGGGACACCACGGGACACCACGGGACACCTGTCGATCTCACTATCGATCTCACTTTTTGGAACACCACGGGACACCTCGGGGCACCACATCGCTCTCACTATCGATCTCACTGTCGATCTCAGTATCGATCTCACTATCGATCTCACTCAACGGGACACCACGAGACACCACGAGACAGCGCGGGACACTGCGAGCCACTGCCAGACGGGCGGGAGGGAGGGGGAGAATCATTTGTCTTGACTTCGCCCTAGCAACGGCGGAAACCACGGGACACCGCGGGACACCACGGGACACCGCGGGACACTGCGAGCCACCGCCGGACAGGCGGGAGGGAGGGGGAGAATCATTTGTCTCGACTTCGCCCTAACAACGGCGGGTTCATTCCTCTTGCGCGCCCACGCAGCTTCGCCTCGCCCGCACGCACGACACGAAAGAAACGAAACGATTTCCCGGTTGGGGGTCTCCGTTCCACTGCGATCTCACCCCCCCAACCTCCGATATATCGGCGTACGCATACATTATCCAGGGTCGAGGGTTCACACGACTCCCCACCCACGTAGATGTGTTCCGCCTTTCTCCCCCCTCCTCTTCCTCCTCCTCCTTCTCCTCCTCCTCCTCCTGCCCATCCACCACAATGCCTGCGAGTACCGCCAGAGCATGCGAGGGCGAGGGAACCAATCGCAGCAAATGCACACGGTAATTACGCAGAAAGATACACCGTGTAAAAGAGTTACGTACGGCCCACCTCATCATGGGCGCCCGCGATGTGCATGGTGCCTGCAAGCCCGACGACAACCGACATCAATGACTTCAACTTTAGATGCAGATGATTCTGAGCCGGAACAAACATGGAGGGGGGGACAAGAAGCAGGAAATGGGAGGGGCACCCTTAGCCTACACTGCCCCGCATCGCTCTCGGCTTCTCCTCCTCCTCCTCCTCCTCCTCCTCCTCCTCCTCCTCCTCCTCCTCCCTCCCCCTCCTCCTCCCCCTCCTCCTCCCCCTCTCAGGTCGGGCGGAAGGGGGGGGGGCATGGCAAAGCATTGGCGACTTGGCCGTATGCAGCCCGTGGTCCTGGCGCCTCCGGGCGCCAGCGCTGGGCGGCGGGGCCGAAACCGGCTGCGTGCAGCAGATAATGGAGCCCCCGCCCCTTGCGTCCGCCTCCACCCCCCCCCTCCTCCTCCTCTCACCCGCCGATTCCTCCTCCTCCTCCTCCTCCTCCTCCTCCTCCTCCTCCTCCTCCTCCTCCTCCTGCTCGTCGCCGTCGCCGCCGCCGCCTCCTCCTGCCGCTCGCCACCAGCGTCGCCTCCGCCGCCGCCTCGTCCGCCTGCTGCTCGTCGGCGTCGTCGCCTCCGCCGCCGCCGCCGCCGCCTCCTCCTCCTGCTGCTTGTCGCCACTGCCGCCGCCGCCGCCGAGGAAGAAACGGAGGCGCGCCTCCTCCTCCTGCTCCAGGGCCATCCCATCCTCGCCGACGGCAGGCAGCTCCTGAGCGCGCCAAGGGACGCCGTCGGCGTCGCCGACGTGAGGGGGAGTCCGTCGGGGATGGACGGAGGAAATTTAAGAGGATGGGGACGCGATGGGAGGGGACGGTGATGGGGAGGGGAAGTGGCGTGGATGGGCGCGGAGGGGATAGAGATGGAAGGGGAAGGGTATGCGGATGAGAGGGGGCGGCATCGGGCTGGCGAGGAGAGAGAAGGCATGAGAGGGGGCTGGGGATGGGGGGCGGTCTGGAGGGGAGGGGAGGGGCGGGGTGGGAAACGGGAAGGTAGAGGAGAGGAGGGGATGGGAATGGCGAGGGAAGGGATGGGAAGAGAGGACAAGGGCATTGTGGGGGAGAGAGGAGGTGTGGGACAGGAGGAGGAGGAGGAAAAGGAGGACGAGGAGGAGGAGTAGGAGGAGGCGGGTGTGCCGAATGGGGATAATAAAAATGGGGTAAGGGGGGGTGCAATCATGACGAGGAGGAGGAGGAGGAGAAGGACGGAGAGGACGACGGATGAGGGCAATGAGATTTGAAAGAGGAGTGGGGAGAAAGACGAGGAGCAGCAGCATGAGGAAGAAGTGGACGACGACAAGGATGAATAGACGATGTGTAGGAGAAGAAGGGGGAGGAGTGGGAGGAATGGGAGGAGGACCAGATGAGTATGATAATGAGGCGTGGAGCGGATGAGCAGAAAGGAGTACGGAGGAAGACGAGGGATGAGAGTGCCATGCTTTCGCTCTCGTTTCACTCTGGTTCAGATGGCGGCCTGTATCAAACACGACTGCAAATCCGAATCAGAACCCGAACCAAAATTCAACTCTGCATTAAAAACCAGACCGTAATCCGAATCAAAATCCGAAGATGGACCCACGCCAGAATGACGATCCGGACCGTGATCCCGTTCTGGGGACACACACACACACGAATCACAATCCGATTCTGCCGTCAGATTCGGATAAGAGTACGAACCGGATCCGATACTCAAGTCACACCCGATTCGGAATCCGAGCCAATACCCGATCTGGAACCCACACCCAAATCAGAACTCCCATCCCGAGTCCGAATCCGAGTGTTGGGGCCGAGTGGGCCTCGAGTCTCCTCATGAGAGAGGGAGTGGGAGAGAGAGATGGAGGGTGGAGGCGGAAAACATGGATGGCGAATAAAACACACAGAGGGGTAAGCGAATAGGGGGAACTGATAAGAGGTGAGGCACGGCGGCCTTTGGTGCGTCAAAACTCGGGAGTCGCACGCGAAGCTAAAGTATGTGACATCTGAGGAGCTGCTCAGTCTGAACGTCTACGACACTTCTACGCACTCGCACCCACGAGGGAGGCAGAGGATGGGAAAGAGGAGAAGGATTGCGAAGGAGAGGAAATGAAAGAGGACGATGAGGAACAGACTGGTGAGGCGAGGGGGAGAAGGAGGACGAGCATGATGGTGTCTCAGGTGTTATGGAAGAGGGGGAGGCGGGCTGGATGAACATAAGGACGAGGACGACGATGAGGACGATGTGAAAAAAGGCGGCGCAGAAGCACCGGTGAAGAAGTAGGAGGTGAGGACAGCTGCTGCTGACGCTGCCAGAGAATTGCTCTCATGCGTCGAAGAAGATACAGCCTGGAGGACCCAGCTTCAGAAGCCCAAGCAAACCTCCTGGCGAATCCATCAGCTGACGCTGGGCCGACCCCGGACGTACATACAACCTTGTGCACAACCAGGGGGCCAGGCGCGGGGCTAGCTCCTGAGAAACTACGAAGAAGCGCTGGGTCAAGACGGCGAGAGTAAGTTCCCTGCTGCCCGGCGCAACTGCAGCAGGAAGAAACGAGGAAGGTCCTCGTCAGCTGGCGGCACCATCCTCGCCAGGTCGGGCGGCACCATCCCAGCCTCCGGCAGCGGCATATCCTCGCCTCGCGTTTGGTTGATTTGCTGCCGCGTCCGCTCCTCCCCTCTTCCACGAGTCGAATGTGCGCGCGACCTTACGCACATAGTTCCCTCCGACGCAGTGGTGAGTGCAACATTCAGATCAGCAAAGCGGGCCTCGCTCAAAGTGGATGGGCCCCCTTGTCCGGCAACGCGCGCAGAGCTGAAAGCCCCACGCAGGTCTGGCATCCGGGCAGCCGGGCAGAAGAGACGAGTGCAGGCAGGAAGAGAAAGGCCCAGGGAAGTGAGCTCACGCACACACTCACACACTCTTCTCTCTCTCTCTCTCTCTCTCTCCCACACACACACACGCGCACGCACGCGCGCACGCACACACACACACACACACACACACACACGCACCCGCACACACACACACACATACACATACACACAAACATACACACACAAGCACAAACACACACACAGAGAGGTGAACTTTTTGTCGCGGCGCGGGCGCTCGCTCCGCGCGGGAGGGCCTCCGCGGGCTGCGCTTTGGCAGACCTGCGCCAAGGAGATGGGGCAAAAAGAAGGCGATTAACACGCGCACGCATATACATATATATATATATATATATATATATGTATATATATACACATCGATATGCACATACAGATACATATGTACATGTGTATATATTATATATACATACACACGTTCCCGTCAGTGGCCGGCCGGGTGTCACCGAAGCGAGTAAGCCTGGCCACGCCTCCTTCAATCGTCACATGACGGTGCAAATGCGGGGTCAGGACGTGACTGACGCATACAAAAAAACGGCACCAAAGCAGGTGCACGTGCAGGATGGGTCATTCAGACCTGAGCAGAGCGGTGCCGCACGCATGCGCTGTTTTTCCTCTAAGGCCCGTTCCACCAGCAGTGGTGATTTCTACTCTGCCACCCTCCCCTGAGGCCCAGGCACAATCCGTTGGAGGGTGTCTGCGTATTTTTTTGGGGGCGGAGTCCAGCATATATGTGTCAGTGTCTGTGTATGTTTGTAATGTGTGTATTGTATGTGTCTGTGTCTGTGTATCTTTGTATTGTGTATTTTGTATTCTTTGGGGAGACAGGGAGCTGGGCCTCCCTCCGCTGCTTCGAAGGCCAGCGCGTCGAGCTCCCCCCGCGACACCGGCGCGCCCACGCCCGGCACCGCGCCCGCCGCGGGCAGGGCGTGCGGCAGGTCCGCCGGCGGCGCGCCCCCCGGCGGCGTGCCGCAGGTCTCGTCCCCGGCCGCGCAGGCGCCGTCCTCGCAGATGAGCGCCGTGGCACTTCGTTGATTGAGCAGGGGCCGACCGTCCCCGCTTTCCTATAGGCCTACCACGACAGGTTCTCAGAAGCCAGATATGTTCCAATGACGAGAGCAATGTTCTTAGAACAGATGCCCGATGTGTAAAAACAAAGCAGTCTAAGCCAGACATGTTCTAATCCGCCGACCCTGTGTCGGCGTGTGTGAGGGGCTTGTCCGTTCCCGTCGTTCGTTCGTCGTCCTCTCCGTCGTCTCCTGTCCCTGCGCCCACCCTTTCCCTGGGCCAGTCGTCTCCCGTCCCTGCGCTCCCCCTTTCCCTGGGCCCGTCTCCCCTCCTCCCCTTTCCCCCTCTTCCCTGGGCCCGTCGCCGCTCCCCCCCAACCACTTTTCCAGGGCCTCCCCCTCAAGAGCAGCGTTGTCATTGAGTCGACGGGAAGCCCCTTCCCTTTGATCCCTTCCCTGCCGGGGGGGGGGCCCGGGGGGGGGGCCCGGGGGGGGTCCCGCGTCAGATACAACTCCCCCCTGGGGGTCCCGGGGCCCACACAAAGCCTGAGACGAGCAAAGAGCCGAGGCGTTCTACCACGCCCTCTCCCCCCTCCCCCCTCCTCCCTCCATCCTCATCTCGCCTCTTTCCTCCGTCCCCCTCCAGAACCGAACCGGCCTCCTGGACGCTCGGCCACGGGACACCCCAGGACCCAGAATTCCGAGGTCCCCGGGACCCTCCAGGGCCCAGCCCCGAGGACCTCCTCCCAGGACCCAGCACCAGGAACCAGCCCCCCAAAAAGTCCAGGAATCCGAGGCCCCAAGCCCTACTCGCCTCGTCCTGCTCCTATTCATTTTCCCCCCCTCTCCTCCTCCTCCTCCTCCTCCTCCTCCTCCTCTCCTCCTCCTCCCTCCTCCTCCTCCTCCTCCTCCTCCTCCTCCTCCTCCTCCTCCTCCTCCTCCTCCTCCTCCTCCTCCTCCTCCTCCTCCTCCTCCTCCTCCTCCTCCTCCTCCTCCTCCTCCTCATCCGCTTCCTCCTCCTCCTCCTCCTCATGTTCCCTTCCTCCTCCTCCTCCTCATCCTCCTCCTCCCCCCTGCTGCTCCCTGACGTCCTCCGCCTCCTGCTCCTCAACGTCCTTGTCCTACTCGTCGTCTCCGTCTGCAGGGTCGGCGGCACCGGCCGTAAGACCTTCGCAATAACATGTCGCGCAGACCATGAAAAGGTTCTTAGAACCTCTACGCGAGCTGGAACGCTTCGCCACTGCTCGAGTTGATCGGCGGCGGCCCCTGAGATCCGACGTCTCGAACAAGCTTGAGACGAAGCCAGGACGAGGACAAAATCGGGTGAGGGTAGATCGAGGATCTCTGAGAACAGGCGACTCGGGAGGATGTCTCGGGCGCCGCGGCCTTCTCAGAGCGTTCGGGAACGCTCTGAGAGCGTTCCGAAACGCCCTGGAACGGATTTACCCTCGTCCTAGCCCCGTCCGGAATGTGCAACATCGTGAAAGATCACGGCCAGGGCCCCCGACCCCATCTCTCCGTGCCACTTCTCGAGCCGGATCGATGTGTGAGAGAGTCCCGGGCCCCGAGGCTGAACGAAAACACGCCCGGTGCGAGACAATCGTGACTGGTTCCGAGTTGCGGTCTAGCACTGCCGGCTACATGCAAGATCGACCCTGGGTAAGAGAGTGACCTTTGGTGCGCGGCGTTCTTGGGGCGGGGGGGGACCAACACACAAGCGCACAAGAAACTACTATCGCATAGCGTCTGGCGATCGAGGGACCCCAATGGGCCCGCACCAAAATTCACTCCGGCGAAGGGCCACTCTTACACGTCGGTCGGGAGAAGTACATAAAAAACATGGAGTAGGAAGGCGGATACAGCAGATTGGGTTCAGGCCCTCCCAGAGAATAACAAAACAACGCCGAAGCACACCGATCCCTGAAGTAGGAGAGCGCTGGAAGCAGATGGGGATCTGGGGATCCCAACGGAACCTGCCGTCAACGACCCGCGTGCACGTGCGGTCGACCCCGGCAGGGCTAATTACGCAGAAGCGTGTGGAGCGGGCACGGAGGCGACGGGGAGGCGAGAGGAGCAGGAGGCCGCGGAGCCCGCGAGCGGCCGGGGAGCGGCGAGGGGGGAGGCGAGAGGGGGCGGCGAGAGAGCCGCAAGCGGCCGGGGGAGCCCGCAGAGCGTGAGGCACTTGAGGGCCGTGCTGTGGAGCAGGCTCTGATGGGCCCGTGTTCCACCACCACTACCGCATGTAGGAGAGGGAGGAGGAGGAGGAGGAGGAGGAGGAGGAGGAGGAGGAGGAGGAGGAGGAGGAGAGGAGAGGAGAGGAGGAGGAGGAGGAGGAGGAGGAGGGAGGAGGGAGAGGAGGAGGAGGAGGAGGAGGAGGAGGAGGAGGAGGAGGAGGAGGAGGAGGAGTCAGGAGGAGGAGGAGGAGGAGGAGGAGGAGGAGAACCTCCTCATCTTCCCTCCTCCCCCGTCCTGCATATGGTAGTGGTGGTGGTGGAACATCTGCCCACCAGGCTCAGAAGTGCAGCTGGCGCCCAGAGCACGAGCAGAGAGAGGGCGGCGGCAGCACTGCGGGGGAAGCCATGGGCAACATGCAGGCCGGACCTCCTCGCGCGGTGGAGCCATCGCGACGCAAGCGCTCTTCGCCACCTCCGGGCTCCCGCGGGCCCCATTCGGGGGGCCCGCTTCCTGGGCCTCGGGGCCGGCAAGCAACGGCTCGGGACGCAACACGGGGTCGACGCGGTGGACGAAGCGCGACGTCGGGGGTCTGGGAAGAGCGACCTCCGGGCTTATGTCGGGCGTGTCCCCTACTTCGACGAAAAATCAAAAATACTCCAAAAATACCCCCAAAAAGGTCAACACATATTTTTGAGAAATAACCCCCAGACTATTTGTGGACAGCTTTTTGATTATGTTTGGGGTATTGTTTTATTTTTCGTCGAAAGTCCCCCTGTAGGGGGACAGGCCCGACTTAACCCTGGGCAAGCGTGGCCTCTGGTGCGCGGCTTTTGGGGGCCGCGAGGGGGCCAGACCCATATGCGAGCCTTCGGCGCTCGGTGGCGGGGCCGCTGGGCCCGCACCGCAGGCCACCCTGGCGGAGGGCCACTCTTGCGTACTCTTGCGTGTAGTCGTAAGTCGGGCCTCTCCCCCTACAGGGGGATTCTCGACGAAAAATAAAAAAATACCCCAAACACAAAAAATACAAAAATAGTCTGGGGACTATTTTTTGAATATTTGTTTGACCTTCTTGGGGCATGTTTGGGGTATTTGCTATTCTTCGTCGAAAATTCCCCTGTAGGGGGACACGCCCGACATCAGTGTAGTCGGAACAATCCTGCAGGAAGCTCAGGCCCGGCGCACGGCGGGAAGCTCTTCGCCATCATTTTCTCAGGGGCCCCCAGACCGCCAAAGATCGCCTTTGGATGACGAGCCCTTCTCGGGGAATGGGTCGAGAACTCCGGGGACCCACGCTGTGAACAAAATCAAGACTCCAGGGGCCCCCAGACCGCCAAAGATCGCCTTTGGATGACGAGCCCGTCTCGGGGAGTGGGTCGAGAACTCCAAGGACCCACGCTGTGAATACAATCAAGACGTCCAGGGTGTAGGCTGGGAGAGAGGGACCGGCTCCGAGGGGGGACCAATCGAGCTGGAATCGGCGATGCATCGCCGACCAATCGGCGACGGGCCCGCGACAGCGAATCCGCACGTTCCAGGGCCGGGTGGGGCTCTCGGGCCCCCATCGGCGATGAAGACAAGCAATCGGAGCGAGGAGGAGGAGGAGGAGGAGGAGGAGGACGAGGAGGAGGAGGAGGAGGAGGAAGAGGAGGAGGAGGAGGAGGAGGAGGAGGAGGAGGAGGAGGAGGAGGAGGAGGAGGGGCTCGGTGCCATCCCCCCCTGCTGGGCACATCCCCGTCCCTGGTGGCTTTCGGGCCACAGCTCGAGCCCCCGGCGGCCGTGGGACGACCCGAGGCACCCCTGGAACGCTCTCGGCGACCCGGGCACCCCCGCGTAACGCGAGGCGCAGCTGCTGGCGCGCATCCCGAGGCTGGAAAGCCAGAGGGAGCTAACGGAAACGCACGGGAACCTTGAAAGCGCGAACCTGGAAACCTCGGACACCACATTCCAGAAACAATATCGAGCATCCCGAAGAGCACCGAAACAGCGCCTGCCCGAGACGCTGGCGAAGCGCAGAACGAGTATCGCCCCCCAGGCCCGACACGCATAAAAGCCGCCCAGCTTCAAAATTCGCCTGGTGCTCGAAATCCTGCCTGGCGATCGAGGCCAAAGCAGGCTGGAGCATCCTAACTCTCAACGCCGGCGCGACGGCGCGGACGCGGAGGGTATACAGGCGCGCAGGCACGCCCCCGTGCGCAAACGTGCTGCTGATGCCAGCCCGCGCCGAGGCCGGCGCCCACGGCCTCTGGGCGCCCGCAAGAGCCCAGAGGTCCGACGTCGTGATTTTGTTCCATACGGGGTGCCATTCCCCTGGACGAGTTTTTCATTCGAAGTCTCGACCCATTCCCCTCGAAGTCTCGACCATTTTTTTTCCCAACCATCCTGTGGTGTTGGGTCCTCGTTTTGAAGAGACGGTGCCCCGCGTTCTCCTTCCTTCCTCCCTTCCTCCCTTCCTCCCGCTGCCTCCTCCCCCCTTCCCATCATCATCATCATCATCATCATCATCATCATCATCATCATCATCATCATCATCATCATCATCATCATCATCATCATCATCATCATCATCATCATCCATTTCGGCACACCCCTCACACGTTTCGTGGCTCCATAGGGAGCTCCACCGAAGGCCCCAGTGCCCGCGGCCGCATGCGTCCCCCACACCCATTTCGGCACACCCCTCACACGTTTCGTGGCTCCATAGGGAGCTCCACCGAAGGCCCCAGTGCCCGCGGCCGCATGCGTCACCCACACCCATTTCGGCACACCCCTCACACGTTTCGTGGCTCCATAGGGAGCTCCACCGAAGGCCCCAGTGCCCGCGGCCGCATGCGTCACCCACACCCATTTCGGCACACCCCTCACACGTTTCGTGGCTCCATAGGGAGCTCCACCGAAGGCCCCATTGCCCGCGGCCGCATGCGTCACCCACACCCATTTCGGCACACCCCTCACACGTTTCGTGGCTCCATAGGGAGCTCCACCGTAGGCCCCCTGTGCCCGCGGCCGCATGCGTCCCCCACACCCCCTGTCGGCAACACCCCTCACACGTTTTCGGGCTCCATATGGCCCCTCACACGTTTCGTGGCCCCATAGGGAGCTCCACCGAAGGCCCCAGTGGCTGCGCCCGCATGCGGTTCCACCCCCCATTCTTGCACACCCCATCACACGTTTCGTGGCCCCATAGGGAGCTCCACCGAAGGCCCCAGTGGCTGCGCCCGCATGCGGTTCCACCCCCGATTTTGGCACACCCCTCACACGTTTCGTGGCCCCATAGGGAGCTCCACCGAAGGCCCCAGTGGCTGCGCCCGCATGCGTCCCCCACACCCATTTCGGCACACCCCTCACACGTTTCGTGGCTCCATAGGAAGCTCCACCGAAGGCCCCAGTGCCCGCGGCCGCATGCGTCCCCCACACCCATTTCGGCACACCCCTCACACGTTTCGTGGCTCCATAGGGAGCTCCACCGAAGGTCCCAGTGCCCGCGGCCGCATGCGTCCCCCACGCCCATGTCGGCACACCCCTCACACGTTTCGTGGCTCCATAAGGAGCTCCACCGAAGGCCCCAGTGCCCGCGGCCGCATGCGTCCCCCACACCCATTTCGGCACACCCCTCACACGTTTCGTGGCTCCATAGGGAGCTCCACCGAAGGCCCCAGTGCCCGCGGCCGCACGCGTCCCCACACCCATTTCGGCACCCCCCACAGTATTCGTGGCTCCATTAGGGAGCTCCACCGAAGGCCCCGTGCCCGCTGGCCGCTTGCCGTCCCCCACACCATTTCGGCACACCCCTCACACGGTTTCGTGGCTTCCATAGGGAGCTCCACGAAGGCTCCCAGTGCCCGCGGCCGCATGCGTTCCACACCATTTCGGGCACACCACTCCACGTTTCGTGGCTCCATAGGGAGCTCCACCGAAAGCCAGTGCCGCGGCGCATGGTTCCCCCACACCCACCATTTTCTGCACACCCATCACCGTTCCCCAGATCACACTTTCGTGGCTCCATGGGAGCTCACCGAAGGCCCAGTGCCCCGCGGCCCTGCGGCCCCACACCCATTTCGGCAATGCGTCAGGGGCCCACCACCCATTTCGGCACACCCCTCACACGTTTCGTGGCTCCATAGGGAGCTCCACCGAAGGCCCCAGTGCCCGCGGCCGCATGCGTCCCCCACACCCATTTCGGCACACCCCTCACACGTTTCGTGGCTCCATAGGGAGCTCCACCGAAGGCCTCAGTGCCGCCGCCCGCATGCGTCACCCCCACCCATTTCGGCACACCCCCCGCATTTCTCGCACGGCAGGGTCATCACCACGGTGGCGTGCCAGGGGCGCACCATGCGCGAAGGCGACGGGGCGGGGGAACGGCGCTCCGGGGGCGGCCAGACCTCCGGGGCGCGAGCAGTCCGCGGCCAGACCATCTCTCGGTCCTGTGGACTCTCGCCCTGGGCCGTCGGCTGCCCGGCGCGCTGCTCCCTCGGTCGACGTCGCCCAGGCGTGATCCTGGATTGCGGCCGCCACGAGGTAGGGAACGGCAAGAAGGAGGACGACGACTGGTGGCTGGAGCTCTACGTGCTGCTCTCGCGCGCCACGCGCCACGAGGACCTCCTGCTCATGCGGGCGCCGCGCATCGAGTTCTTCCTGGCAGGGCCGCCGCAGGGCTTGCGGAAGCAGCTGGAGCAGTTTGCGGCGCGCACGAAGCGGTGCAGGAGGGAAGCGACGGCCCTCGCCAGGGAGCTCGGCTTCACCGAGTTCATCCGCGAGGCCTGACCTGAGGAGCGTCTCCCCCGAGCCGCGCCTTCTCTCGACTGCCCGACTAATTGTTTGGCCTCGCGCCGCGGACGACCCGCGCGCGTCGCTGGGACCCTCTCGGGGCGACCAGCGCGCGTCGCGGGAACTCCGTGCTGCGGGGGGCCCGGCGCCTCGTTCGCCCGTCGTCGCTCTGCCCAGCGGTCAGAGACTTGCCCGCTATCAGCCAGCCAGTTAGCTAGTCAGCTCTCTCTGCTTCGCGCAGCGGACGACCCGCGCGCGTCGCTGGGACCCCGCCCGGGGCGACCAGCGCGCGTCGCGGGGACTCCGCGCTGCGCTGCGCCCGCAGCCTTGGATTTTGGAGTGCGCGGGCAAAGAGGAAGGAAAAGAAGAGCCGAAAGCGGGCGCGATCCTCGCAAGAGGCGTGCCGACATGGGCGTCGCGACGTGCGGACGCTGCCGTCGGGGTTCCCGCGGAAGCTGCCTGCGGCGGCCACGCCCAGTGTCACGTGTGTTCGGACAGGCATGCTCGACACTTACACTAGGCGGTTCCATGATCGCATTCATGCAAATATATTCACTCGCGCGCAGACCCATTCATACTCAGATTCCCTCGCGCTCTGACTCACCCGCGTTCTTTCTCTCGTAATCAGATCTATCGTATTCCTTTGCGTTGTGTACCCCGCCACATTTCGGCACACCCCT